CTTCTGGGCTATGTGTGCGATTTTGGTATTATAAATTGTGCTGCTATTAACACAGATATGCATGTATCCCTCTGTATGATGACTTAGTTAACTCTTTTGGGAAGATACCTCGTAAGGGACTAGCAGAGTCCACTGGAAACTCTATAGTTTTGGTTTTTTGAGGAATCTCTCCTGATTTCCACAGTGGTTGTACCACTCTGCACTCCTACCAACAGTGGAGCACAGTTCCTTTTCCCCACAGCTGCACCAGCATTTGTTACTGGTTGATTTCTTCATGATAGATATTCTTTCTGGGGTGAGGTGGAATCTCAGTGTTGTTTTAATTTGCCATTTCTCAAGTGACCGGTGATGTTGAACATTTTTTCAGATATTTGCTCTTTGCACTTCTTCATCTGAGAATTATTCATTTCAGGTGCCCATTTTTTGATCGGCTCTTTATATATTCTAGATATTAGACCTTTGTCTGAGGAACAGTTGGTGAAAACAATTTTTCCCATTCTCTTGGGTTGTTGCTTCACTGTTGGTTTCTTTTGCTGTGCAAAGCCTTTTTAATATGAGATCCCTGCTGCAGATTCTTTGTAATTTTTTCTATACAGAGTTTTATTCAGAAACTCTTTGCCTCACTTACATCTTCAAGAGTTTTACCTATTTTATTTTCCAGCATATTAAGTGTTTGTTTTAATATTTAGACCTTTGATCCATTTAGATTTTAGTTTCGTGCATGGTGAGATATGGGTCTAAGCTTAAAAATCTTTGGCATATGGAAAACCAGTTTTCCCACCGAGGCTATCCTTTTTTTCCAGTGAAGGTGTTTGGCCCCTTTGTCAAAGATAAGGTAGCTGAGTGTATTTGGAGTTGTTTCTGCATCTTCTAATCTGCTCCACTGATCCTTGGTTCTTTTTTGCCAGTATTATGCTCTTTTTAGTCACGGTAGCTTTCTAGTATAATTTCAGGTTAGTGATTATGACACCTGCCCCCCCCCCCGCCTTTGTTGCCAAGAATTGTGTTTGGTATTCTAGGTCTCTTATGGTTCTAAATGATTGTTTTCTCTAGTTCTGTTAGGTATGCTATTGGTATTTTGACCAGGATTACATTAAATCTGTATAAGAGTTTTGGAAGTATGGCTATTTTGTCTATGTTGGTTTTGCCTATCCAAGAACAAGGGATATCTTTCCACTTTCTGATATCTTCTTCTGTCTCCTTTTTCAGAGTATTGTAGTTTTTGATGTAAAGGTCTTTTACGTCCCTTGTTAGATCAATTCTGAAGTATTTCATTTTTCTAGGTGCTATTATGAAAAGTGTTGTTTCCCTAATTTCTCTGAGTTTGTGTGCAGGAATACTGTTGATTTAAGTGTTGACTTTGTATTCTGCTGTGTTACTAAATTTGGTTATTAAATCTCACAGTCTTTTGGTGGTGTTTTGGGGGTCTTCTATGTAGAGTATCATGTCATTGGCAAATAATAATTTAACATCTTCCTTTTCTATCTTTATTCATTTCTCTTGTTTTCTGTAGTTTTTCATTGATAATCAATCTTATATTATCCTTATTTGCATCATCTAGCAGCTTTTGGATTGATTTCTCATAGTCCCTTACTATTTTTAAGAAGTCTTTCACTTGATGCCGTCACTGGTAGACAGAGGCAGACAAAGCCCAGATCCACGCTGGATAATCCCAGCAAGCCTTCAGTACGGTCAGAGTGGGGTACCGATTCTGGTGCTTTTAACTCCTTAGAAGTTCAAGTTGATCCTGGCCTCTGGCTGTGCAGTTGGAGCCTGAGTAGTTCAGCCTACAACACTGTGTATCTTGCAAGCCTGAACTCAGCTCCCTGACCCTGGATGTCTTCCGTGTTTGTGCCTCACCCAATTATGGGGAGCCCTGAGATGAAGACAACCCATGGCTGCTGTGAGCCCCAGGTTCAATTAGCCCCTCCCTAAAATGGCATCTGGCCCAGCATTTTCTCCAGAAGACAGTTGGACTGGAGTCACTCACCAGCTATTGTAGTTCACAGCATCCACTGTTCTGTTCCACTAGTTCATTTTTTCGAGGAGGCCTCTGGCGTCACCTGCCTTCACTCTGTCTCTGTAAATTCGAGCCTCTGGTAGTCAGGGAGAAAGTGCAGTTTCCCATCTCCTTTTTCTGCATTGAGGTCTGTCTCTTCACTTTGCCTGTGGGCTGCAGTTCTCTTCTCAGATCCTTCCTGAGTCCTGGGGATCTACCTCCTTCCTCCTCCTCTTCCCCAAGTTGTTATACGCCAGTGTCTGGGTTCCTAATCTTGGAGAGGCTGATTTGCTGCTGTTTACTGCTCTGCCATCTTCCTGGAAGTCTCTCAGTGTTAATTTACGTTTATTTAATGGCCAGCAATGCTGAACATTTTTTTCATGTATTTATTAGCCATCTGTACTTCATCTGAGACGTTTCCATTCATTTCAGATATCCATTTTTGGATTGGGTCCTTAAATTTGAGGGGTCTAATTTTTTGTGTGTTCTTTATATATTCTAAATATTAGTCTTCTATCTGAAGAACGGCTGGCAGAATTTTTCCCCGTTCTATAGGTTATGTGTTCACTCTGTCAGTGGTCTCTATGGCTGTTCAAAAGGTTTTAAATTTGAGGCGATCCCATTTGTTGATTCATTGTTATATTTCTTGTGCAACTTGGATTTTGTTCAGAAAGTCTTAACCTACACTTACATCTCCATGAATTTTACCTGTTCTGTCTTCCAGAGATTAAGTACTTCTGTTTTAATACTTTTTTATTCATTTTGATTTTAATTTAGTGCATGGTGAGAGAGATGGTTCCAGGTTTAATCTTCAGAATGTGGAAAGCCAGTTTTTCCAGCACCATTTGTTAAAGAGGATGTCTCTCCTCCAGCAGAGGTGTTTAGCCCCTTTGTCAAAGAATGGCAGTTGAGTGTGCCTGGAGTTTCTGCATCCTTTATTCTGTTCCATTTATCCACAAGTCCAGTTTTGTTTTATTTTGCCAATACCATGCTGTAGCTTTATAGTAGAACTATAAATGATTGTGATGCCTCCCATCTTTCCCTTGTCCAGAATTGCTTTTGCTATTCTAGGTCTCTTCTGATTCCATATGAATTTTAGGATTATTTTCTCTAAATCTGTAAGGAAAATGCTATTGCTATTTTGATTGGGATTACATTAAAGCTGTATTACCATTTTGAAAGTATAGCCATTTTACTGTATTGGTTCTGCCTATCCAGGAATGGGGCTGTCTTTCCATTTTCTGATGCCCTCTTCCATCTCTTTCAGAGTATTGTAGTTTTCATTCCAGAGGTCTTTCACTTCTTTGATTAGGTTAATTCCTAAGTATTTCATTTTTCTTGGTGCTATTGTTAAAGGTATTGTTTCCTTAATTTCTCTCATGGTGAGCTTGTTATTGGTGTACAGGAATGCTACTGATTTTTGAGTGTTAACTTTGTACTTACTGTATCTACTGAGTGTGGTTATTAGTTCTAGGAGTCTTTTGGTGCAGTTTTTAGGGTCTTCTATGTAGAGGATCATGTCATCAGTAAATAATAATTTGACTTCTTCCTTTCCCATCTATATTCATTCATTCCTTTGGTCTGATTGCTCTGGCTATGTTTCACTTCTCCATCTTTGCACCACTTGGCACCCTCCTGGCCCAGCTAGATCTGAGTAGCCAGGGCTGGGTGGTGGTGGCCTAAGAGGTACCATGTGAGAAGTTAGAGGGACACTGTGGCAGACACTTTCATGGCTACATCATGGCACCATCTGAGGCACTGGACAGAGGCACAAGGTCTCTCAAGGCCACAATAAACACCTGTGGGGTTTGGTTTTTTTGTTTTTGTTTTTGTTTTTTTTGAGACAGGGTCTCACTATGAAGTTGAGACTGACCTAGAATTCACTTTGTAGCCCAGGTTGGTCTTGAACTCAGTGATCCTCCTGCCTCAGCCTCCAGAGTGCTGGGATTACAGGCGTGCACCACCACACCCGGCAACATCTGTGGTTTGACTCAGACTGGGAAGAACTCGAACCCTGCTGAGATGCATAGCATCAGTCCCCTTGCCAGCCTTGATGGGTGGGCTGATCACTGCAGAGCTCTTTCTGCAGGTACAGTGGCTCCCACAGGCCGGGCCCAAGCCAGCATGGTGACAGAGCTTCCAGTGTGCAGCAGTGACCATGGGCCAAGAGGAGGCAGCTGCCAGCTGCCAAGGAACCCTGTAGCTCCCACCCAGCTCACACTAGAAAAATAAGAGGAATGAGGAAAACCACCACCCTAGAAAATGCCTTCCCTGAAGGTGCTTTTCTTTCCCCAGATTTGATCAGTTTGGGGACTGGTTGCTGTCATCAGCATTTTTCACGCAGAAAATAGACCATTACCTGTAAATTATCCTGGTCAGATCTGGGTCTGGCTCTACCGAAGGGATAAACATGGGGGGCCAGGGGTTCCCATCGACTGTAATTTCTGGTTTTTACTCTCCACGTTGTCTTCATTGTGGGGCTCCTTTCTGCTGCCTCCTAAAATCGCAGTTCCCAGCAGGCCGAGTTTGTGGATTTAAGTTCAGTGGTTACTTCCTGTCCCCTGAGTAGCTTGTCCTCCTCTAAACGTCGCCTCCATCAATGAGTTCAGTGGACACAGGGCCATTGGCAGCAGGAGTCCTGTGAGTGATGTGTGGGGAGGAGCTGCCCGGCTTGACTTAGCAAGAGGGGTGGACACGCCCCTCACTGGCCACCAGGGCTACCTGGCTGGCCTGGGACCTCTGCAGGAGAAATCTGCCGCAGGAAGAGCCTTGAGTCTACTCACCTCCACCAAGGGTGGCAGCGTCCCCTGCTCTGTCGGGGACACGGGGAGTGGTCAGGCTGGGCCATGCAGCCCAGGGCCCTTTTCCTGTGGCCAGGGCGCACGGCTGGATGGCATTTCGATCTGTGCTTCCTGCCCTGGCTCTGCACTGCTGTGCAGTCATGGAGGTGGCGGAGGCACTGACTCCTGATTCCTTCCCCTTGTCCCTACTCTGGCCGCAGGTGTTCGAGGAACTGTGGAAGGGCGAGGGGAAGACCGCAGTGCAGATTGTTTCAGAGAAGCAGCTGGGACTGATGCAGGACCGCGAGGCCTTGGAGCAGCTCTGCCAGTCCACGGTGGAGGGACACCCTCGAGTGGTGACTGTCGTGGGCAGGGCGGGGTCATCCTGGGGACACAGCCAGATGCCTGCTTGAGGTCCTTCGGGAGCCCAAGGCTGCTCTTCTAAGGGCTGGCCCAGTTTCATCAGTAATTGCTTAATTATCTGTGTCAGCCCAAAGGAGATGAAATGAGGTGGATTTTGGGAAACCACTTCTTTCCTGTAAGGAAAATTCCACTCTGGCATTTGCTGTCACGGAGGTAGTTTGACGGCTTACTGTCAAACTCGGCACTCCAGGGTTCCAGCTCCCAGACTGTCACCCTCTCCCGGGTCAGCATTACCAGTCCATGTGACCAGCGCTGCCTCCCCGGAGGGGCCTTGCAGTGATGAGCCACCTGGCCTGGGTGCAGGGGGAAGGAGACAGGGCTTTAGCGTGCCTTCCAGAGGGGAGAAGAAAGGTAGAAGTTATTTTTAAGTGATGGAGAATGTCCTTTGACAGGAGCATGGTGGAAGCTGTGTTCCTAGTGTAGAAGTACAACAAGACAGAAAAGCTGCATGTGGCAGCTCTCCCTCCCCACGTCTAATCGTACTGTCTAGAGGGGGTTTTCAGTGGGGAAAACTTGCTAGCATCTCTTTCAGAATAATGCCCACCTGCTCATCAGTGTGCCAGAGACACTGAGAGCTCTTTACAGAGCTCTCGGTATGGAAAATGAGCCTGCACCGGCCCGGAATCTCCATCTCCCCTCTTCATCTGCAGGGACTGATAAGGACGCTTAGTTTCAGGCCGGTCCTGTGGTGCTGGAGTCAGACGCCCGAGTGCACGTCGCTAACTGCAGCTGAGGGGAGGTCGGTGCGGGTGGCCCTGCCAGCATGGTTGACAGGAGCCCGGCACCTCCTGCCTCCTCATCCCACCCCCACAGCGCACACCCTGCCAGGGTTGTCACTTTGGAGAGTGTTTTCTACTCAGCACGTCTTCCTGGCAAGGAGGGCAGGCAGAGGAGCGCCTGGCGAACGTCACTGGGGCATTTGAGGCACCCCACGTACACACTCCTCGTCCTCCTGTCGGTGTGGTGCCTCGGAGGAGGGTCCTGGTGCCCACGCACCTGCTGCTTTGGTGTCAGTCACCGAGATCCCTCCTGGTCTTCTGTGCTCATTAAGTAGAAGGTAGAGCTGGAGCTGGCTTTGCAGGAGCCTGAAGCCTCCTCACTAGCTAATCCCCCATCTCTTCCTCTTCCTCATTTTATATCTGATATTCAGGAATGACAAACATTCAATTTGCAGTAAAATTAAGCTTTACTGGAGGATTTTTAGTTAAGAGGGTCTTTATTTTTCTTCTCTTCATAGGTGATGGATATAAAGAAGGGAAACCCCAGAGCTATAAATAAACTGATCGGGTTGGTCCGGAAGGCGGCCCTAAACCGAGCAGACCCAGCTATGATAAAGGCCCTCCTGGAGAAGCTGTTGGCGTAATGTGTGAGGGTTCCTCCTGCCGAGAACTCACTTTCTGTGAGTTGCATTTCCTGTGCCCTGGTTCTCTGAGACTCTGGGCCTTGGGGTGCAGCTTCCATGGAAACCAGCAGCCCCCCACAGCCCTTTGCTGCAGCAGCAGTGGTGAGGCAAGGGCACATTCTGTGGGGTAGTTCTCCGCTGAGTAAAACATACTTCAGAGACTGACCACTTTGCAAGCACTCCACTGTGCAATTCCTTCCACGGCCAACGGTGCGTGCTTCCTAAGGCCTGGATTGTCCCAAGTGCTGGCCATCAACCATGATCAAGAAAGACTGGAATGTGGATACAGTATGTGCAGACCTAAAAGTAGGTTAACGAAGATCAAAGCAAAACAGATCGGTGCCATGTAAACACATCGGTTTAGGGCACCAGGGTCGGGAGAGTAGCTACCCATCTACTGAGCAAAGGTAATACTGCCCTTTCAACTTCCTGAGGACCCTAAACGCATAGGCTGGAGATTCAATGAATTTTTTAAAGACAACATAAGTTTTCAAATAAATTTAATGAATAAAATATATACGGAAACATCACGTAAAAATTAACTTACACTTCAAAGATTGTGTACGATTGACACCCCCACACCATCAGGCCAAAAAAGATAAAGAAAAAAGCTATAACAATTTGTTTTGCTTGTAAAGAAAAAGATTATAAACTAATAAAATCTTGACCTTTGACAATAACTGAGGTGTAGTTGACAGTATCGTGATGAGGGCCTCGTCACCGCTGCCCCTTTCTGTGTGAGAGTAACACTTTCTCGAACACAAGGCCCCTTTGTTCATACACGTCTAGGACCTCAGATTCACAATGCTTCCTTTAATCCTTTTATGTCTAGTGTTCCATTTTTGGAACGGCAGGTAACAATGGAACATAAAAATGTTACTCTTCAAATTCTTGTTCCTGATTTTTTTTTTTCCCCTAGGTAACGTACGACTTTCATGCAAAAATTCAAAAAGTTGTAACCTTTGGCATTATAAATGGGTTACCAACCAGTTTTGTAAATGCTTGGTGACACCGTCCCCAGCCCCAGACTATGGTAGAACACACACCAGGGCCTACCAGCCCCAGCACTCTGAACTTTGAGGCAGGTCTCACTAAGTTGCCCTGGTGGGACTTGAACTTGTGATCCTCTTCTCTCAGTGCTGGGATTACAGATGTGTGTCATACTCATGGCTGCAAGTGCTGTTTGTAAAAGTACCTGTCAGACTGATATAGTAACATATCTTGAGACCCTGATTTTTAAAACTCAATCCTAACATACCAAGAACAAGAAACAGCATTTTTGTGGGGCACAACGATCCCGGAGAAAAGTACCATGCCCTCTGTCACCAACTGAGCAACTGATGGTTCTGGCTTGGAGGCAGTGCTCAAAGTTTCCCTGAGTTAAGAGTGGGAAAAGTACCCCATTTGCCCAGCCATGAAAGCAGGGGTAGAGAAAACCAGTTGTGTAGTTTAGCTTGGACAAGCATGAGGATGGGAATTTTTTTTTTTTTAATTCAAGAAGCCATGTAACCCACGTTTTATAATACTGAACACTACTGGGGCTCCAAAGAATGTGCGCTAAACCCCTGTACAAGAGAGAGAGTGGAGCCCCCCTCTCCCTGCAAGTCTGTTAAACACAAACGGCTAAGGTTCAAATCTGACAGGACCTTTATCTTATCTTTTTGGTACCAGGGATTGAACTCAGGTCCTTGCACTTGCGAAGCAGGTGGTGGAACCACTGAGCTAAATCCCCGGCCCAGGCCCTTTATTTTAGAAGAAAAAATAAAATTCAGTTTTCTTTTCACCAGAAGTTTATGGAAAGCACTGAAGGATCTTTGCAGACCATTTCAAACCTAGAGCTTTAAGTGGAGGTATAGTCAGATTCAGACAGCGTCCCCAAACTATTATGTCAAGTGAAAACTGCATATGGACCAATTACTCCCACAGAAAAACGCCATTAAAAACACTTGATCTTTGCAAGACTACTTCCTAACTAGCTCTGACCACTGCCTTCTGTCACTTCTGAAACCCTGAAAACCAGAATGTGTGTTGCTATCACAGCTGACGAGATACTTGAAAGGTATGTTTATATAACACCCTAAGAAATTCACCAAGTACAGCTCTGCTATACGCACCTCAGTAAAATACAACTTCATTTTTGCAGGAGCACAAATTTAGCTTGGTCCTTCTCTGCCATTTAGGGGAACTTAGTAAAATGTATGAGTTGGTGCCACACTCACACCACTGCCACCTGTCACGGAGTCACACGTGTACACAGCCCTGTACACACGCCGACAGGTAGGTTGGTGTATAATGATGAGACCGTGGGAGGGGTGTGCTGGAAAGGCTGCCCGGGACAGCTCTGCGAAGCCGAGCCCTGTGTTCTGTTGTGTACGGAGGCTGGATGGTTCTGGAGGAAGGTAAGATAACACTGCACCCCGCTGCAAAGAGAGTTCGAGAAAAACTTGTCTGATTCACAAAACAGTCTTCTGGGGGGTCGACTACTAGACAGGAAGTTTTGGGTCACTGGCTCTAGAAAGGAGCTTTCTGCATCTGTCCAAGCCTGGGCATCAAAGTGAATGTTTGTGCCTCTCGAGGTATAGATAGAAAAATACTCAGGTTATTAGACCAAGACAAGACTTTGGCTGAGTTCTCACCCCTTGTTTTTTTCAGTAGTTACTGCTAATCTGCAAGAAAACTGAAATGTTCAGACCCTCCCTCGCTTAACTTGGTTAATTTGTCATATGACTTGTGACTACGACCCACAGTTTTTATTGACTTTTTCATCATTTCAGGGGACGCCCCCCCATGACTATGGGGAAGGAGGTGCCGGCCCTCTGTGAAAGGTCATGCTATTATTCACCCATTCCTGGAAGTGGCCACAAGTTTTAGCCAAATGCATCCCTAGTCACGCAGCTGAGCAAAGACCATTTAAGGTCATCAACACTAAATTCTCTCCTTCAAACACCTCCAGTGAAAAGGGGGAGCCTGGTTATGGGGGGGGGTCTTTGTTTTGTACACTTATCCAATAAAATGTCAGCCTCAGCTCCCTGAAATGTGTGATCGGCCCAAGAGCTTCCTCACCTTTGAGTCCTGAAATGATACATTAAACCCAGGCTCCCCAAAAGATGCCTGAAAGCACTGCAGACTGCACTGACAGCTCCGCTAGGAGCAACATTCACAGTGATCCTAATGGGACAGGAAGATCGCCCTGCTAAAATCAGTTTGGGGGCATGAGAGTGAGGCCCAAACTGGGAGCCCCCCCGCACCGAACCCCAGTCATCCTTTTCCCTAAAGAACCTCTCTGAAAGCTTAACTGAGTAAACAGGGCTTTACCAGGAAATGAACTGCCAGGATAATCTGTCCTCCAAAACATAATGGCCTAGTAGATGTCTGAATGTAGAGAGGATTTACTGAGGCAAAATTATCCAAAAGCCCATTCTTAGCCTTCCAAGAGCTTTTTCTGAAGCATTAGGTTTACAATGGTCATTCAAAAGGAAAGAAAAAACGTCAATTCCATCCTCTTAAAACTCGTCACTGATGTGCTGGGGTGGAATGAACTGGTGTGACGTGTTCTAAGCTGTCCAGTTACAGACCGGCACCTAAGAAGGGGCCAGTGACTTAAAAGCTGACAAGGCCTCGGGCAGAGACAACACTGCCGAATTGGCCCAGGCCTGCAGCACCCCCACATCACACCGATCCCCCCAGTGACTGGCATAGCACATGCAGTAACAGCTGTCCTACAATCGAGTACTTCATAAAAATGGCGAGTGTGACAGACATTTCTGTAAATACAGAGCTGGTACTTAGCAGTCAAACTGAACTGCCCTTAAATGCTAACTGGGGCACTGGAAGGTATTTAACATCACATACCACCTACTGAACACGACCTGAGCGCCGACGTGAAGAGCAGCCCGTCTGCCACCGGAACCTCCACGCAGGTCTGGCGGTCAGTCCACACAACACTGCACAGAGACTGCACACTTCAACCTGACCACACTGGATGCCCACCTCGGGTGGGACCCCAGACCTGCGTATCTGGGTTCTAGATCACGTGCATGAGAGCACACTCCTGACCACACCCAGGCCTCGTGAAGTCATAGCACCAAAAACCAACTAAATCTGACCTCAGTCAAAACCCTGCTAGGGAAAGGGTACTACGAGGGCCTGGAAAGTGCTGCCTATGTCCTCCGCACACAGCCAATGCCTCAAGTCCAACCTGAGCATGTCAGGGGAGGTTCTAAAATAATGCTCAACCTAACAGGCACAATTTCACAGTGCTCCTAAATACAAGGGAAAGAAAGTCTCTATAAAAAGAAAGTCACACCTCTGAGTAGCTAGGTATTCTAGCCTCTCCACCTAACGGCTGGGAAATTGTAATCTCCTCTCATGAAACTGTGCTTTAGGCTGGACCTAAGGTGGAATTTCTGTTTTAGATTTTGCAAACATCACATGGACATTTTCAAAAAATCAATTTTAAATATGCCAGTGCTCTCATACTTTGAACCAGAAGATTGCGTCTAGACTGCCGTCAGTCCCTGAATTATGAACTGAGGTTAATGCTGGGATGTTCCAGGAGCCCTCCACTCAGTTTCCCTCCTGGGACATGGGGGGAGACAGTGATACCAGCCCAGGACTGCAGCAGAAGCTCTGTGCCCCTCAGGTCTCCCTCCAGTGAGGAGCAGGGCAGTGGACACAGGCTGCTCACAGGGAGAGGAGCCACGAGCTTGGACATCAAAGCTTTTTAAAATTCTTCCCAAAACTTTTTCCAAAAACGAAACAAAAATAAGATACCTCTAAGGGTCCTGCCTGTTGACTTGAGGACTGGAGCATTCTACTTCATTCGGTGGTCTTTTCCCCTTCAGGGAGTCTCGTCACCACCCACCTGGCTGGCACCTTCACATCTGCCTAAGACAGCGTTCCTCCTCCAAACGGCTGCGGGTCTGTTCCAGTCCTGTTTCCAGCACCACTCTCTATTTTCCCCAAGTAGCCATTCTGGGCAATTGTGCCCAACCACACGGGCCTTTCTGATGTCCTGCAGTGTACTTCCAGGTCAGCTTTCCGACTTCATTCTGCAATACTCTGGGCACAGTCCCCTGGCGGAGAACTGTGATAGCTACGGAAACAGGAGCCAGTTTCCAGCTCAGGATGTGAGGAGGGCAGTGGTGAGTGGGCCACGGGTAACCCACCACAGAAGCCACATGTTCCCACCTCTCTCCTGCTCCAAGCATCTGTCCCCCTTTTAAAGTAACTGCTTCAGTACTGACTGAAAAAAACAGGAGGCACAAAGTCAATCCCCGTCCTAATGGGCACTTTCCACGTGGGGCACCATGGTGCTCTACAATAAAGAAACACTCACCACGCAGTAGCTCCTGCCACCAGATAATGCAGCTAAAGAACACTATGTTGTGACCGGTAAGTCCAACCAACCAGATGTGTACTTGTGCAAAACTAAGTTGAGCATAATATATTACAGCTTAACCGTTCTTTCCCTACCTTCTTCTTGCTGGAGATGTGTGGGCTGTGTAAATACAAGGAGGCATTAGGAAGCCACAGGCAGACCAGTGAGTTGTGCCTCAGATGTTCTGGCTGTGGTGCCTCAGCCGGGCAAAACCCTTTTTCATGACAAGCAAATGTGAAGTCAGACGTGTGCCACAAACAGGTAAATGGGTTTCTTGCCTGGGCTATGAAACAATGCCAAGGTGACTCCCGATGGCTTTCCTGGTCCAGACTGGCTCTGCATCTCTCAGTACACAGCCTCTTCAAGATCCCCAAAGCACAGAGGATCACCTTCCCACTTCTCTTCTCTACAGGGGCCTGAGACACGAGTGCCCTGGGTACAACCACCATACCTGCAGCTGGCCTCAGGCCCGGCACAGACGCCGACAACGGGATCAGAAGGAGCCCAGCTTTCCAGTCTCCCTCCAAACAGGCTCATCCTGTGCCTTGCTTCTCCCCCACAGACCTGGGCCCAGGACAGATGAGAGTGCAATGTGATACCCATCTACATCAGCTGTGTACGGTCTCACTTTAACCCACCGTTATCTGTGCATCTCCCTGTTGGTGGTAGCTTGGGGTGGCCATGGCTCTGGATACCATCCTGCCTCTTGGAGGAGGCTGAAGAGCAGTGATGGCTTGAGGGTCCTCTGGAGAAGCTGCATTCAGAAGTATTGTGGAGCAGCCACCAGCAGGCACTCGGCTTTGCAGGGCTGCAGTGACCTGGATACGTTTATGTCCCAGCTCCCTAAGTGGGCTGTGCCCACCTATTTCTCTATAAGGTGCAACATGTTAGCAAAGGAAAACAATTCAAAATAATGACCAGGGTTTTTACAGGCTGCATTTAGCTGACTTTTATCGTTTGCCCCCACTCCGGTCTTTCCCAAAAAAAACTCACTATGGAAGCACATCACAACTTAATGTTTCCTAAAACACTTGGAAAAAATGATGACTGTCTTCTTGCATAATAAAACAGCACACTTTCTCCATCTGATCGAACTCCTAAAAACTAAAGTAACAGTTTGCATAGGCACACTTTGCTTAGTGCAAATCTTACTGAAATAAGGCTATCGTCAGTGTTTAGGCAGTGTTGCAGGGATTAAAGAAAGCTCTCAAGCAACAAGAAATTATTCTCTGCACTGATTCCTCTCCAACTCCAAGTGACAACCCAGGCAGAGACTGGGACTGGGGGGCTTTCTGTATCGTAAGGCAATGAGTGTGGAGAGAACACGAGTCCCAGAAGGAAGATTCAGAGGGGCACAGGATGTGTGCTCCTGTGACGGAGGCGAGAACAGCTCCATCTTAATTCTTCCTTTTATAAAATGAAAGCCAAAATGCGGAAGGCAGCAGAGCAGGGCGCAGATGCTGGGGAGCCACCTTCGTGTGCTCTGAGAGTGGCCTTCTGCCACAGCACGTCAGGAATCGGTGCTCGGTACGATCTGAGCAGCAGGCCGAGTGCTTCAGAGGGAAGGGAAGATAACAGAAACGTGTGAGGTGGGGAAAATGAGCAAAGACGATCCGCCTAGGGAAGCAGTCAGCTTATGAGACTTACATTCTATATAATGCACAGAAGGAAGACCCGGCCAGACAGACAGAAATCTCCCTGTAAATCAAGTATCGTCAGGAAACATCAAAGTGGAATCTGACAAGCAGCTTTGCATTTAACATTCAGTCAAGATACTACAACCTTACAAAACAAGAGTCTACGAAGACAATTTTTTAAAACACTAGCAACAGGATTCCTCAAAGTCCCCCAGGATCTTGTAGCACAGAATGGAGTGTTCCTGCGCCAGTGCAGCCAGCTCCTTCAGGAACTCGGGGAAGAGGGCGGCAGCCAGCATGGTGTTCCTCACCGGCAGGGGCAGGTCTGGGGGTGCCCCGGCCACCTTGGCTCTGTTGGTCAGGAAGGGCTGAAGCACTCTTGGGGGACCATCCAAAAGGTTCCTGCTACTTCCGGTTCTGGAAGCCTCCGGAACTGGATCTGAAACCAGAAAGAAGACTGTCATGGAGAACCTCCACAACCTTCCGTCTACCTTCTACATGAAGTGTGTGTGTGCTTGGAGGCAAGGAGAGCTCTTGTAGGGGTCAGCCTTAGCAGCAGTTGCCCTAACTGACCAAATCTTGAAGACACAGCCCTTACACACCTGTGACACACCTATCTGTTCAGCAGGTACCCAGCATACAACATGTGATGTGAGATTTACCCAAAATCTAAGCATCCCTGAGTAGAAATTATGGCAAGAACACAGGTTCTTCAAGAAGCCTCCCAGCTGGGCACAGTGGTGTGTGCCTCTCATCCCAGCTGCCAAGGACGTTCAGGAGGGAGCAGTCACTGGAGCCCAGTCTGGGTAACAGTGATACCCACCTGAAAGAGAGAAAAAGGGAGATAGGGAGGGAGGAACGGAGGGAGAGACAGAGAAGGAGAGACAGAGGAGGAGAGGGAGAGGGAGACAGAGAGACAGAGACAGAGAGAGAGAGAGAGAGGGAGGGAGAGAGAGACAGAGAGACAGAGACTTCTCCACCCAGACTGTGGGAAAAGGGCAGAAAAGAAAAAGGCATCTCCTGCCACTCCATCAATTGGGTGAAGATTTGGATCCTTGGGATGTTTCTCTAGGGACACTGTGTGGCCGGCCTGCTCTCCTGGGGTCCCTGTGCCCAGCCGACTGCTGTGCCATCTCCACAAGCCAGCCCAGGCCACACAGTGCAGCCCCGCCCCTGAGGTCGGTGCACCCTGCAGCTGCTGCACCATGCTGGCCTGGAGGGCTTCCTGCCCGCCCCCCGTCAGACCTCCAGTCTTCCATACAAAAGGACGGTAGAAGATTTCTCCTCATCCAGAATGATGGGGAGGACACTGGGGTGCTGGAGAGACTAGAGTCAGAACTTCCTGCGGCCAATGGAATCTAGTGGCAACAAATGGCTTGGAAGCCAGCATGTAAGAAGGTTTCTAGGAGTTTCTGTCTCAGTTTCAGTCTAAGGTGTAAGTTGATAGGAGCCCAAGCTCTAACACATTCAAGTGATTTACATTTTCATACCAAATCAGTTTTACTAATTAAAATGGTTCAACTTCCCGACTATTTAATTCCTGAACATCTCCAGCCCTCATATATTTGTCAGAATTATTTATGCCTTTTTCTGCCCCCTACCCAAACACTCTCATTATTCCTTCTAAATCATTATATTGAAGCTCTTCATTATTTTGGCTGCTTTTAGAATTCAGCCCCATTTTTCAACACTCTTTTCAAAGTGTTGCTTAACTATAGTACTAAAAATTCTTGACATTTATAGTACTTTCCACATCTCACTACTATAGTCTCTAGTGTTAAAAAAAATCTTCCACTTTACTGCTTTAAATATCATTTTAGATTAAAGCTTAGCACAGTTCATGCCATAAAGAAGTGGAAAAGTTGTTGAGAATCTGCTTCCTACAGCCTTTTGGCAGGAGCTCCCACTGTCCCCTGACAACAGTGAGGGCAAAGGTGCTGATGTCACTGAGGACCATGGTCAGGCTGGGAAAGCACCGCTCACCGCCACCTGCCCTGGCCCTCAGCGACTGTCACTCTTCACAGGCCTGGAAACCAAGGATGGGACACAGGTAGGCACCATTCCCAAACCCACACCGAAACCCACAGAGCCCATGCTGGCTCCTCCACTGGCGCTCCCTTCCTCCAGATCTGTTCACCTAGATCTTGCTAGCTTCAGAGGTCCTACTAGAGTGGTAAAGACACAGACTGTCACTTACTGGTTGAGCTACTTCAGGCAAGTTGCTTTACCTCTGTACTTTCAGCTCCTCACCTGTCAAAAGCCCACGGAGTACCCTAAGAATTAAATGAGACCACAGGTATGTTCACTGGGGAGTGCAACACCACAGTGTCTCCGGTCATCTGCCGCTGACTACACAGCACACCGCCAGCCCTGTCCCAGGAGTCCTCCCCTGCTCTAGCTTCCCAGTCCGGGAAGTCTAGCAGCCAACGAGGGCTGGCACTGCTCTTCAGCCTGGCACTGTGGTTCATGTTCTGTCTCCTCTGCGACATACACTCTGAGCCGTGTAAGGGCTGAGCCCTTTGATGATGTGTTTCACAGCCTACAACTCTTCTGTATCAGCATTTGCTGGGCGAGGGGGCGAAGGCATGACCAACACCAGTCCTCCTACTCCTGGAGACCCTCTGCAGAGCTAGGCTCACCTTTCCACTCAGAGTCACTGCTCTCCTCTAAACAGGCTTTACTATGTCTCACTAATCTAGGGTAACCTGTGTCACTGCTAGGGCTGACCGACGCAGCTTGAATCCCAGCATCCAGTCCCTGCTACTGAAGAAGAGCACCAGCCTGAGGACAAGAGGGAAACCCTGACAGCCACAAACAACCACCGCATCCGTGAGGACTGCCACAGGGAAGCAGCCTCTCGCTGCCTGCGAAGCATCTTCAGCTCTTGAGTCAAGTGCAAGCAGACTGAGTAATGGTCCCTTCCTGGCAACCAGCTTGTCGTGTAGGGCCCCAGTCTCCTTCTCTGTAAAACAGGATGCCACTTACCAGGCCTCCCTTCTAGAATGAGAGTCAGCTAAAGGACTGCATATACATACAGTCCGGTTTGTAAAGCATGTGAAGGGGAAAAGAGAAGCCTTGCAAGTGGCGGAATCTGAGAGACCCGACAGTCTCACTGACGGGGAGTGGCAGCTGGTAACAGGAAGCAGTCTCCGTGAGCAGCGGTCCTCTCCCAGCTGCTGGGGACCAGTGAGGAGGCTGCCAGGAGGCGAGTGGGTGCACAAACCTGAGTTACGCCCCTCACGCAAGAGTCTAGCACACATGCACAGTACCGGAAGGAAAGGGCTCGGAGGAGGGGAAGTATCATGGTCGGCGTGAGGAGTGCTTCCTGAAAGCTGTGACAGAAGGTGTTCCAGACTAATACCCGGGAGATTTCGGAAGTGAGGAGGGAAGTGCGTTAGGAGCTCATCTGGCAGCAGCATCAGGAAAGGACACAGAGAGCCTACTATGTTACCCTCTGCCGTGATTCTAAGTTGTTCAGTGTGCCAGTGACTCCAGGACTCCCCAGTTCTGCTAACTTACAGGCAGTCGCATGACAGGAAGTGCTTCAGAGACAGCAACTACAGTACCTCACTGTGAGTTTAGAGAATTTCAAATTGCAAGGGAGGGTGTCACTTTGATAACATAAAAGAAGTTAGGATGAGAGCCTTCTTTCCCAAGCGAATCTTCCTCCAAGCCAAAGTCCCCAGTGTCCCAGACCTTAAGAAGCATCAACATTACCAGGCATGGTGGTACATGCCTGTAACCCCAGCATTCTAGGAGGCTGAGACAGGAAGACTGCAAGTTAGAGCCCAGCCTGGGCAACTTAGTGAGTCCCTGCCTCAAGACATTTTACAAAGGGCTGGAGATATAGCTCAGTATGAAGGCCCTGGGTTCTATCCCTAGTACCACCAAATAAATAAATAAAAGCACAACCCTGGCTGACTGACTTGATGACCTTATGTAGTGAGAACAAGTTCTCCAGGCACATGCCTCACCCCATGGCTGCTGGGAAGCCTGAAGCCAGAGCCCAAGGTGACAGCGGCACCTGCCACCGCCCACCCAGAACACAATGCCTCCAGTTCAGCACACCCTTGTCCAGCCCCCCAGGCACCCAAGCTCCATGACCCCACTGACTGGCCTGGCCTCTCTCTGGCTTCCCTATTTGAAAATGGCGCTAATGTCCCCTTTCCTCCCCATTTCACAGCACAGTATGACAATAAACACTGACTGCCTGGGAAAGCACCTTACAAACTGTCAAACATAAGTGAACACCAAGCCTAAGAGGTAAAAACATTGTGCGCAGAGCCAGAAGCCACCTCGTTATATAGCAGACTGCAGAAGTGGCCAGAGTCCTCTGCAACTCTTTCCATCGGGAGGTGGGGCTTCTGCTCTATTCCTGAACCGGGCTGGCCCTGTGCCAAGCTTTAGCTGACAAAAAGCAGCAGGCTTAATTAACCCTGTGAGAGCCCACAGCCTGAGCATCAGGAAGTCTGCCATGCTCCTTGCCCACAAGCTGAGTGGCTGAGACTAACCTGCTGGACAGTGAGACACACCCCTACCACCGTCGCCCTGGCCGACAGCCACCCCGACGGCACCCAGGAGCGGTCTGACACCCACACATACACAATGGTCAAGGGCTATTTTTTAAGCCACTGAGTTGTGTCAGTGGTTGTGCCACATACAGTCAACAGACACCCTCCTTATACAGTATGTCACAGCATGAGCCCTAGTCAGGAGGACTCCACCCACAGACCGACCATCTGTGTGCCCCAGAGACTCACAGGGCCTCAGGCTCACCTCTCCCAAAAGGAGGGTGCTGCCTGCCCTCCCTGCAGCTGTGCCTGCTCTGCTCCAAGTTCAACAGCTTGAGCCTGACCCTTGGTCTACCAGTGAGTGGCACATGGCCCACTTCAAAGTCAGCCTCGCAGAACCCCAAGGACTCATCACACCCAGTCTGGCTATGGCCAGAAAGGACCTGAGAGATGGGAGACAAAGCCTTCATTAAAGCAAGGGGGTGTGGGCAGCTCAGTAGTACAGCATGTGCTGAGTATGCTCCATGCCCTGGGTTCCACCCCTACCTGAGCCCCACGGAAAGGTCAAGGGCCCAGTAAGGCAAGATGATTAAGATCAAACAGCCACACAGAGGCAGGATCTGGTAGCAACACACAGTTTGGGGTCCTTTTCGGCTTCTTTTAAAGATTTAAAAACTGCTGGGTGCTATTTCTGCCTCTCACTCCCAATCCTATTCCTGACCATCTGTCTGAAACCCAGAGGAAAGGGCCCTATCCTGTTACCACCCACTCACCATGAGAGCCTGACTCTATGCGCCAGGAAAAGGCAGTGAGGCATGTTTGTGCTCACCAAGGCCCAGGTCACAACTCAGAAGACAACAGACATCAAATCCGCCCACCCAGAGCCGAGAGGAGGCAGCAGTGCCAGGCCCCACTCTCGGCTGCCCTCATCCTGCTTCGTGACAGCTACCCGCATGGCCCAGCCTCGCCTATCCTCTGGGGCCGACAAAGACATCATCAGGGATCTGGGCTGCACACAAACTTTACTCCTCCTGGTCCAGAGGAGCAGTTCTCACCTCACACAGTCCTAAAGCACATCTGTTTTTTGGCCTCAGAGCCTCTGAAAACACAATAAACAGAACAGAAGCTCACCTCAGGACAGAGCTGCCCAAAAAAAATGGCTCAGGGAGTGCACGTAACACCGCTAATGGCACAAAGGTGCTGTTGTTTCTCATAGCCCAGTGACAACCCACACATCAGCTCCTTCCCTGAACCACACTCAAGAAAACCAGTGCCTCACCAGACCCTCCAAGGGGGACACAGGCCAGCTGCTGGCCTTTACATTTAGCAACACTAAGAGGAGGCTCCTTGCTGCTGGGGAAAGTGAAAGTGTCTTTGGATGCTTTGGGGCAGGGGCAGCAACAGTGAATGCAAACCCATGTGGGGAATAGGAGGGAGCAGTGGGGGAAGTGGCTGACCTTTGGTTGGCGCCACAGGGGTCACATCAGACATGTCCACCCGGAAGAGCAGGTACTGCTGGGCTTGGATGAGGAGGCCTGGGAAGTCTCTCTCCACAGAGGCAAACTGCTCAATCTTGTTTTTCACAGATGCAAGGACCTGTCAAGAGCAACAGTAAAGATGTTAAGTGCTCCACAATGGAACTCCACTCTCAGTTATCCATATATCTTTCGGGTATGGCCCTCGTTATGAGAACTATTATGATATTGGGCATTTGCTCATTTTTCACTGCCTGGGTGTTCATGGTAGGACACCCTCAAAATGTCAAACTATATGGAGCTTCGCAATTTGTCTGGAATAATCTACACAGCTATATAATAAACAAGGAAGGAAAGCAATCAGGACAGTGGGACTTCTGGAAAACAACAAAAACCATGAGAGGAAGTAGAAACTGGCCAGGTACGCTGTGGGCTCTGTGGACATACACACCTGGTAGAGGGAGCGCACGCTGGGCTGGAAGACCATGTTGGTGTTGAGCAGAAAGGAGCGCAGAAGGGGCTGGGGGTAGCTGGCCAACTGTGTGATGATCCCGATAAGTAGCAAGTTAACGTGCAGCGAGTTTTCCAGCATGTTCTCCAGCTTTGACAGAACCACACTGATGAATGGGCCTGTGGGGAGAACAGAGCTGCAGGGATGACTGGGCGGGTGGGGACCTGTCTCCTCATCACCTGCAGAGCCTCCAGAGCCACAGCCCAATCACCATGGACCATAAAGTACAAACCCAAAGGACACACACATCCAGAGTTTCCCTGCCACCAGGCCCAGGCGGAAGACAAGACATCACTCATGGGGACTAGTATTTTGACGCCATAAGCATATTTAGTACTTTTAAAATTATCATGGATCTTGAGAAAAATCAGACATTTATAAAAATATGCTTTTGTACACTGTTTCTATTTTCCTGTGGTCACCAGTGCTCAAACATAACGCATCATCTCAAGACGCTATAAACTATGTAAGGTTTTGCACAAACATCAGAGCCCATCAAAAGTTTGGGGAACAAAAAAATCTTTGTTATTAAGGAATACCAAACACAACCAAAGCAAATGTACTGAACAGAAACTTGTAAACCCTGAACAGGCATTCTACAAAGACTGCTTGTTGAGTGTAACAATGGGGAAGGACGGGAAAGACAGACACGAGGATGCTCTGCACTACAGCATTAGCAACTGTGACCAGAGATCACACTTTAATTTTTCAGATGAGAAAGAAAGAGGGGACTCAGCCTTAGGGGATGCAGTCTGGTATGCCATGGAGTTCTTCAGAAAGAAAACCCATATGCATGACTGCAAAGCTGTTCATACAAATATTAGGCATTAAAGTGCTTCTGCTACTTTGGATCACTAGAAAATTAATATACTTTATGTTTGCATTCACTAAAGGCAAGGAAAACAAAAAAATCTGGCATTAATAAAACTACTTAAAGATGTTGTAAATTTTTGCCATAAAAATGTTCCATTAAGCAAAATCAATGAGAATTTTGTATTTCCCCCACTGGAGCTCTTGATAAAGCCACTAAACTATGGCATATTTATAACAAAATCACATAACCTTTAGTAACTAAGCAGGCCTTATGAAGACCTCACCACCATCCACGTGACTTTAACACAAACACGAGGTGCTTCACTCAGAAGTCCTGTTAGTGTGCAAGGGTAAGGTCCATTGCTGGGAAACAGTCACCACGAGAAATGGGAACACCAAACCTCTGCCCGGGTGGGTGACAAACAGGGCAACTACGATTGATATTCCTGTCTTGAAGGACATTGAGGATGTTTCCACTGGGTCTCAGATCCAGGAGAGGCACCACCTGCTGTGGTGTGTGTAGGCTTAGCCTCTACTTCTTCATCTATGCGATGAGAAGCAGAGCTCTACATTCACTTTTCGTGGCAGAGGGGGGTCAATAAATGCTTAGAGAAGCCTACAAAAACCTGGAAGGGACTGGCAAACACATTCAGAAACTCTAGACTTGGAGAAACCCCCATTGGAAAGCAAACCATTTTCTGTTAAGAACCCCAGAAATGCTCATGTACTCTTCCAAATGCATCCCAGCATGGTTCTGGCTTTCCAGGTGGATCTACAGGAGAACGCTTCTATCACCCTCCACTCTGGGGCACTGTCTCCCCTCTTCCTTATCTCTTCCTCTGCAGTCCCTGACTTGTTATTTGCCTCTGTCTAGATGGGCCAGAAACAGGTCAGTGAAGGCACACACAGGGAGCAGAGTCTCTGTGAAGTCCTTAAAGTGAATGGCCAATTAATTCCACTGCCCCAGTCCCAATCTATGCCTGTCCTTACCCAGCCATCCTACAGATGTGAAACACACTGACTGTCGGTGATCAAGAAGATAAGCCATCCATCCCATCACTACTGCAGAGAGGGAGGAAAACAGCTGGAAGCACACTCTCAGAGAAGAACGGGATCTGGTCATTGTCTCACGTGAGTAACAGCACATAGGCCAAGCCATCGCAATCCACCAATGATGCTAGCTTCTTGGCATGGAGATATAAAGCATTTCAAATCCCTACTTTATTCTTGGTTTCTAGAACTTTTTTTTAAAAAGTACTTGGCAAAAAAGCAGTTGCTAGGGCAACTGGTAAACAGCTGAAAACTGGAAGGCTGAGCTGTAACTCAGAAAGCCACAGGTGTGATGGGTTTTTTCTCTCTTCTCCTGAGACATATAAATGCCTTATTTGTTAGCTTGGGTCCTGAATGTCCCCCAAAGACCTAGGTGCTGAAGGCTTGGTCCCTAGACTATGGTGCTACTGGGCGGTGGTGAAAGCTTAGGAGGTGGAACCCAGGGCTAGTTTTATAACTGGGGGTGTGCCCTTGAAGGGGACAGTGAGACCTTATCCCATCTTTCTTTTTCACTTCCTGCCACTATAATGCAAGCAGCTTCCTCTGCCAAATGTTCCTACCATGAGGTGCTGTCCTTCTCCGGAAAGCAACACGGCCAAGCAAGCATGGACTGAAACCTCTAAAACCGTGAGCGAAAATAAAATTTCATGCCTTATAAATTTGTTTTCTCAGGTTTCTTCTTATCATAGCAGAAAGCTAACATACCATCCACAAAATACTCAATTTTTCAGGATGACTAAGGCCATCTCCATCTACCCCTGTCATTTATTCTCTCTCCCCAAGGAACCCTACCCCTGCGTTGGTCCCTGTGCTCCCTTGCCCTGCATGTCCCAACCCCAAGAAGAGACCTGCCATCAGTTCTGTGCCCCAGCTCACCAAACTCCACCCAGGAAACCTCTCCTGAGTGTGAGTCTTCACCTTCACTCCCTACCAGCTCTGCCTGAAGCCACAGTCTCATCATTTCCTGTTTGGACTTCTACTTTAATAGCAATTAAAATGATTATAAAAATAGATACAGGTTGGGAGACACACACATTTTTAAATACAGTATGAGGATTTAAAGTGAAATCCACCCCACCCTCAGGAAACCAGTACTAACAGATTCTTGCGTATACCTCCAGAAATGTCTTATGAATAAAGCAGGTGAATTTTTGAAAATATTTATTAAGCACATTCTATGTGCCAGCCAGGGTTCTAAACGCTTTTTATGTATCATCTCCCTTAATACAACTACCCTAGGAAGTATGTTTATTATTTCTCCTGAAGGCAAGAGAGAATACAGATAGTAAATGGAGTAAGAATTTCAAACTGAGACCCTATTTTCAGTGCTCTTAGCCAACACACGACCTTGCCCCGTGTGTATACACACATGTATGTGTGCACCCTGGTATTTTAAAAAGAAATTACAATGTCCTTTCTACACTGTTGTGTAGCATGCTCACACATGAGACTGCCCCACACCAGCACATACAGAGCTGTCCCAATCATCTCAGGGCCATAACATACTGGACTCCTCCTGCTGGGCATCGGGGTTGTTTCCAGCCCTTTTCTATTATAAACTGGGTGCTGCAGTGAACATCTCTACATACAAAGCTTGGCACAGAAGAGTGAGACCACTCCTAGAAATAGAAGGAGCAGCTTGAAGCACCAATGCATCCTCAGTTCTGACAAAACAGGAGCCTCTCCTGCACCAACCTCTTCCCACACCACTACAAGACTGGCTTTTTCAGACCTGGCCACATTTCTCCCAACTTTAATGCTTCAAGGGCTGGGTGCACAAGAACTGCATTCTTCAGCTTGACCCAGAAGTCCCTGCAAGCTGACATCAGCCACACATGCTGGCTTTCTCTCCCTCCTCCCTGCTAGGGGCTCCTATGTACCCCTGGGTCCTCTGCGCCCCTCCTCTGGACGCCTTGGTCTTGGGGTACAATACTGATAAGGACTCTCACTGAGAGAATACAGTTCCTTGCTGGTGTCTCCTCTGAAAGATTGAACACTTCTCATTTTATGTCCTTAGCTGTTAAGTATAGAACCTGCCAAATATTATGAGATCAATAAAAAAGGCTGAATATATGAATTTTTTAAAAATTAGATAAATGGAATGCTTTGATTTTGCTAGAATGTGCATTAATTTCAGAAAAAAAATCAGTATTCACTGGAGAGAAGGAAGTTAAGCCAAATGCTACAGAACACACTCAAAAGTCCGGAAACTACAAAGCTCACAAACAGAAAGAAAAAGATGTTTCCTGAAGCTGTGTATAAATTCCTTCCAAAGGAAGGAGGAGGGAAAAGACAAGGCTTTCATTATAATTACACAGCTGTATCAAAGAACCAGGGTGCTTCATCCACTTTCAGTTGTATCATATGTAAAGCACTGATGTTATTTAATAAGGTGTCTCATTAGCTGCCCCAGCCCCCAGCTATACTTTGTTTCCTTAATTTACACATTTCCCAGGGGTGCAGCTCCACTGTGAGAAAGCTCACAGCCTGAAGAACAGCTTCCATAGCCACGGCATTATTGGTTTGGGTCTGAAAAGTCCCCAAAAGGCTCATGAGGAAGGCCTGATCACCAGGACAGCAGCATTAGCAGTGGGGCTCTTGGAAGGTCATGAGTGGATCAGGAAGGCCCTAACTTCATCTGTGGATGACCTATGAATGGACTGAGACTCCAATCCGAGAGCATTACTGGGAGGTGATGGGAAAGGAAGAGGTGGGGCCTGGCTGAAGGCAGTAGGGCACCAGGACACCACCCTGTGGACACCCATTCCCAGCCCCTTCCTCCCTGGCCCTCTCTGCTCTCCTGCTTTTCTCTACAGCCCTTTCTGCCATGCTGTTTCTGCCTTGCCACAGGCCCAAAGGCAATGGCACCAGACAATCACAGACTGAAACCATCAGCCAAAATACATCTTTCCTCCTGCAAGTTGTTATCCTTGGATATTTTCCACAATGTTAGAAAGCTAAGACACACAGGCACCCCGATGCCCCAAAAGGCCAGAAGAGCACACGGAGCTCCTGCTTCTGCCCTCTCCTGACTCATCTCTCCAGCTGCCTCCCTTTGCCCCGCAACAACTGGGAAACGTGAGATGATCTAATCCTTTTTACTTAGGATTGACTGATTGAGTTTTAATTAAAACTTGTTCACACTGAACTGTTATCTCAGCCAGATCTCTCCTCAAGCCTTATAATTGTGGTATTAAAAGCTTTCCCCTGTTCAAACAAGTCTTCAGGCATCAATAAATAAAGAACAAATACTGGGGGAGGAGGTGGAAGAGCCCCTTGAAATCGCATTAAGCCTACTGGTCTGGACCAAGGGAAGACTGCTTTCATCCCCTCCTGGGAGCGGGGAGTGGGGCCCAGTCCCTTCTCACCATGCTGGTTCCCATGCCAGGCAATGTGCAGCCCCAAGGCCATAGGGGACCTGCAGCAGCAGTGGCCATGCCCCCACCTCCACCCGGTCCGTGCTCAGTGGGAAGTGAGGCTGGGCCTGCCAAGGCTGCACCGCTCGGCTCAGAGTCAGGACACTGCCCAGGCCAGGCGGGACCGCACTGTCTGTGTCGCCAGCTTCTTCCAGCACTGTGCCTCACTACTGACTACCATTCATCAGGGGTCCCTCTCTGACCTTACTGGGCCTTCATCTGTAGAGATTCCTTCACTTGCAGATTCTGGTTTTACTGGTTAATATCTAATGTTTCTAACCAATTCCTCACTGACCTGCTCCTCTGATCACCTATCCTGCACCTTTGCCTCTTCCTGTGATTCCGACCTGCTGCAGCGGTGAGTGCGTCACCTATCCGTACACCTGCAGAAGAGTGATGACCTGTGCAGCTCTGGTCTCCCTGTGTGGGGGCGAGATTCTACGATTATCAGGATGAGCTCCCAGGCAAAGGCGCAACTACCCCAGTGGCCTCAATGTGTACGCACAGTTACTGCCGCTGCACAGTGCTCTGGGCACCTGCTGTATGCTCTGTTCACTGCCCAGCGCAGAGCTCAGAACAAACACCTCTCCTTGCATGAAACCAGCACTCGAGAGCAGGAGACCGTAATAAAAAAGAGTACACGTACAAGTGGTAAGAAGAAAAATGAGACTAAAGGATATGGGGTTAAAAAATAAACAAGACTGGATTCCGGTGGGTTAAATCAGTCCGATTAGTTCATCACAGGCATATCAAGTTACTAAATAGCAAAATTTAACCCCTCCCCAACTTGCTAAAAAAAAAAAAAATCAGGCGATCGTTTCAAAAACTGACAAAATAAAAATAAGACTACCCCTCTCTGCTCTTTCCAAACATCTTCTCTCTGCCTGCTAGGTAAGCAGATAATGCTCTTTCACGTGCCTTACACTCCTGCTCCCTCAGGCACAGTACTCTCAAACCCTGACCACACGGAGCAATTTAAGATGGTCACCTGTGAACGGAGTGCCCAGAGTCCTCCCGGGATGGTGCCCGGCAAGGGTAGTCTCCTCTCTCACCCCAAACGGGGAAGGTACACTCTCTGCAGTAGGAGCTTCTGCGATGAGAGAGTCAAAGTCCTCCTCCTCCTCTGCTTCCACGTCCCTCTCCTGCTCCTCCTGCTCATCCTCCTCCTTTCCGTGCTGCTCTTCTTCCCCACCCTCTTCCTCTCTGGGGAGCAGCAAGGGCTCCAGCGTGGGAAAGCTCTGCTCCATCAAGCTCTCGGAGCCCGAATCCAGTTCTCGAATGATCTGGTCATACTGCACACTGAAGTCTCTGCTCTCCGGGCTGATTCCAGGCAGGTCTGGGCCTTGCTCTGCCTCAGAGGTGGGGGCTGCTGGCTCTGACTCTGACCCTGGGGCCGTGTCATCCTCTTGCACCGGGCCCTTGGACGTGTTCTGAAACAGGTCTGCACTGTCCCTCTTGTGTTCCCCCTCCGAATCTGTCTCTGGCAGGGGACTGTGGGGCCCGCTGTTCACAGGGGATCTCTGAACCTCGGGCTGGGCCTCAGCGGGCAGACTCACAGTTTCCTCCTCCGCATCCTTCTCTGCACAGAGCCTGTACACCATCACATCATCCTGGAAGTCCGACTCCTCAATGTAGGACCCTTTGAAGAGAGAGATGGCATTCTTCTTCATCTCCTGGATGTGCTTAGGGGGATCCAGAGGCACTGGGGGGTCAGAAGTCTCCAGGCCATCATAAGCCCCAGGGGAACCCGCATCCGCCCCCGAGGAGATGCCAGTGTCATAGCTGTCGTCCCACTCCAGCTCTGTCTGGCCCTTGTCCTTGGCTGGAGCCGGCTGAGAGCCGCCTGTCCCCGGGTGCTGTGGGAGCTGGGGGCCAGGGCACTCTGATCGCACGTGGCCATCCTCCGGCAGGCTGTGCAGAAACGTCTGAGAGCTGGGCCAGTCCCCATCGTACAGCGCAGACCAAACACGGCAGTCCCTCATGCAGCACAGGATGTTGGTGTGGGCCTCCCACAGGTACTGCAGGTAGCTGATGTCCAGGGTCTTCCCATACTCCACGATGCAGGCCGAAGGCGAGGGTGCCTCGGGCAGCGGCTCCATGGGCCCTGAGGGGACAAACAGCTGTCAGAGCAACAGGTGACAAGTGTGCAAGACTGGGGTGTGACCTGTGCCAGCTGTGACCATGTGGCTGGTGATTTCTGATAAAATGATATCTGAATAACAAAAGGTGCTTAGTTTTTGTTTCCTTTTGCTTCGAAGTACTGAGAATTGAACAGAGAGTCTGACCTCACAGAAGATATAAAACCAAATGTCCAAATCCTGGCCACAGCCCACAGAAGACTATCTGTTGACATCAGTCCTTAGAGAAGCAAGAGCTACAGGGCTACCTCTCGAGGTGAGGGGATCACCATACATAACTACTTGGCGGGGCCCCTCCCACAGAGTGCATAATAATCAGTTTTTGCACTTTGACTCTAAAGTGGGAGGTTGGTAACCCATCAATTTGGGAACCAGGTCTTCTGTAGAAACACTGATCTTTTAGAAAAGCCAATTAACTCATTCTGCCTTCCTGGGGACTCTCAGGCTATGAACATTACCAAATTGTCTATTAAAAGTCATAGTCACTGCCAATATAGTTATTTTACTCATTACTCAAATAACTGTGAAAATATTTTCAAGTTTACATTTTCCCCTAAAGGAAAAAAAGACTAGGAAAATGTAATTCCGTCATTTCTCTTTTTTCTTTTCTTTTTGGTATCAGGGATCGAACTCAGGACCTTGCACCTGGGAAGCTGGCGGCAGCACCACGGAGCTAAATCCCCAGCCCGTGTTCTACCATTTCTTGACCAGCCAGAATGGCACAGGTGCCTTGTCAATGCACTGACGTTATCCAGTCACCCTTAACCAGGGACCCTCTGCGGTAAGCGTTACTTTCCCCACACACAGATGAAGTGGAGGCTTGCAGGTGAAGAACACTGATCCCCCATCCCACCAGGGCCAGGGCAAAAATACGGTGCCCTCAAGGCAGGCCTCGTGCTCACAGCAATGTCGCTCCCTCCAGGACCTGAACAGAGCTGGGTCAGGACTGAGTGCACACTGTCATGTCGGTAAGTAACTTATTTTTTACCACTGTACTGCAAAAAGGTTAATGTTTCTTATCTACCTTAAATGATAATACGCCCAAAACAACTTCTAACAATTTTACTGGGTACTTACTATAGGCCGCACAGTCTCCTAGGAACTGTGTGTCTTAATTCACTTGTCCTTGGACAGCCCTTTGGGGTAGCTCCTGTTTTCCAGATGAGAACAGCTCAGAAGGTGACGTAATTTGCCCCACACAGTGGCAGTGCCATGACTCAGAACCTCAGCTGCTAACCAGGGCACGGGGACTACACCGGCCAGCCATGTGCCCACCCTCAGGTTTCCACCTGCTGCAGGGTAACCCTGGTTGCCAGGACGTGCAGAAGGCACGGAATGTGGAGTCAGTGCGTCTCCTATCAATGTCACCTCAAGCAGGCCAGTTCCCCACTCGAGTTTTCTTCATCTATGAAAATGAAATACTTTCTTTAAAGCATTAAATATTGTCACAGAGAGAGAGAGAACCGGGCAAGTTGTGGACATCACGTTTAATTTGAATTTTGAATTCTGAGGCAAGTTTAGCTACAAAATCATTCCTGAAACAACTTTCACAGTAAATAAAAATGACACCCATTTTCAAATGTGCTTTTAAAAATAACTTCTGAATGAGAAAATAAGATATCCACACTAGTTTGAGTAACAGAAAAATATATTTAAGATACAGTCACATAAATTGTTAATTTCCATGCATCCATGGTATCATTATCTAAAGATCATATATAAGAACATTAACTTCTCAATATTACATTTATATCAAATGTGCTACAGTTCGTTAGTTAAGCAGCCCAGCCTTTAAATGCACTTTAAAGAATGGTGTGGCTGGGTGGGCGGGATGACGTTACTGGAGGAAATATCAGAGTATAACTTGGAAACACTTGACTCAGCAACAGGCCCAAGCCATTTCCCAGTGGTCCCAGGATAGGCTGAGCGCTCCTGAACTGAAACAGCCATGTGACCATCACAGACACACAAATGTCTGCCCCTCACCACCAACTGCCGGCTAGAGGACTGAGGTTAACAGCGGCAGCATTAAAATTGTACTTATACAAAGTGAATTATAGCTGGCAAAGAGTCCGTGCATAATATAACTCCTATAAAAACAGAATATTTATGGAACCCCCATTATGTCAATCAAATTACTCAGACAATGTTGCCATATCACAATTTTCAATTTTACAGTCATATATTATGGACTGGCAGACAATCCACACATGGATCATCTTGGAAATGAAAGTAAGGCCTAATTTCATTTTTCCCACAGCCATGCCCATACCCACAACTTTGATTCTGCTTTGGAAGACATGCACAGGAACATTATCACACACAGACGTTACACAGTGCCACTACCAAGGCCACTTACAATCAAGGTCTGAGACAACTGACCAGGCGTCAGTTCATGAAGCAGAGGACTCCCAGTCCCTCACCACAGAAACGGGACTGCACACACAGGAGCCCAAAAAGCTGGGGTCTGGTGTGCTGTTTAAAGAGCATCGCTGGCAAGCTCCTACCTGAGCCATCATGGGCGCCCTTTGACCAGAGAATGTGATCCCGCTCCTGGTGCCCGAGAGTCAGGGTGATGCCGCTGGCGCAGCAGCCAGGGGTCAGGGCGAGCAGCTTGGCAGCAGACACCGAGTAGCAGTCTCTCTCCTTCACAGCCCACCTCTGACTCAGCATCATGTGATTGCAGGGGACCAGGTACCTAGAACAACAGAGAGAGCAGCCTTCAGTCTCACAGGGTCCTAACCCAGGATGGGACAGGGTGAAGCACGTTCAGGACCAGTGGTGCCCCAGGAAGGACACGCGCCCCCACCACCACACTCTCCTCTGCTCATCACGTTGGCCAGAGCGGGATCCATTCGCTCCCTTTCTTCAACTCCTCCTCTCCCTTTGTCTCTCTCTGCACCTTCTCACCCACTGTGACCCTCACCTGGGGTGCGCTTCCTTCTTCCTTCCTGACACTGTCATCCTATAAAGCTGCAGCTTCAGCACCACCTGCTCTGAGCTGACTTCCCAGCTCCCTGTTCCCAGGCAAAGAGGACCTCTCCCACTCTCCCAGTAAAGGACTATGCCTGTATCACACTTTGAGCATCTGCTGCCTCTACATAATAATATGCTACCTGAGAAAGGGCCTGCTTCAGCATTTTTGTCTTCTGATCTTGTAAACTCTGGCTCAGTGGACAGCACGCAACAACTCTGCAGCGTAAACTTGTTGTTTTTTGTTTTTAAATCTTGACACAGGGTCTTTCTAAGTTGCCCAGACTGGGCTGGAACTTAGGATCCTCCTGCTCAGTCTCCCAGCATACTGTGGATTACAGGCTGCATCACCATACCTAGCTTAGTGTAAACCTCTTACATTCTCATGAGTGGCCAGGAAAAAGCGTGGTGGCTAAGGGCTTGGCAAATAGCACCAGACTCCATTTCACCCAAGATTCTGCTGGCTAGGGACCAAAGCATCTTAGTGTCATGGACCTGAAGACAAGACAGCGGGAACACATCAGTGGGCTTCCTGGGTAGAGTGCAGTATTTACATGGCTTTTTTTTTTTTTTTT